TTCCTGTATATTACACACGTCCTGTTAGCCTTCAGGTTTCTTGCCAGAAAACATTTGAGACACTCGTCAGCATTTAAAGATAGTTTTAGAGGATTTCATCTGTTCTGTGGAATGCTTTTTCTTTCTAAACTGCTGCAGAACAGCAAATATTTTGCTATGATATCTAAAGGCATTCATGCCTGCCTTACACCATTTAGGCCTAGATTTAAATTTTTTCTTTAAATAACAAGTTGAATCAATATTTTGGGAACTCTGGCAGTACTTTCTGCTTTGGTTGTAGTTGGGTTTAGACGTAACGCTTCGTGTCTCAGACCGAGTTTGAGCTCTGTCGCCAGAGGACCAGGTAGGGGTGAGTTGATTGTTCTTCACGGGATGAGCCAAAGATGTAAGTAGGCTCTAAGGTCTGTAACGTCGAGCTTTCGGCCTGGCAGCTTAGCCAGTCAGGTCTGTGTGATGGGGAGCTTTCGTAGCGCTCAGGATTTGTCGTGGTGCTTTTGCTTTGCTTGGGGACTTTTATATAAAGCATCTACCCCGGTGTCTAGTCAGCAAAACTGATCTTCCCAAAGATAAACATGGTGTTCCTTGTTTTGAGCCAGTTCTGCAGTTGCTGCTGTACCAGGAACGTGATTGTTGATTAGCTTTGAAGAGGCCAGTCTCTGTGCGCAGAGTGTGCTTTGTGGTGACGTGGGGACAGATGCAGGCTGTCCAGCAGCCCGGCCTTGACCTGGGTTCGCATTCTCCCTCTGCTCTGTGACCTGTGATCCAGGACAACTTGTTGAATCTCTTCTCTGAGCCTTGGCTTCCTCTTTGATCTTTTAGGGGTTCTTACACCTCTTCAGAACTCCTAAGAAGTAAGTGGTCTCCTGTGGGCCTCTTTGGGGGATGCGGTGGACTCAGGCACGGTAGCAGTTGTGGCCGTCCGGGGGCCCAGCTGAATAGGCCTGGAGTCGTCCCTGTCTCTGCTGGGTACCGTCCACGTTCAGACCTGCGCTTGCAGCCCTCGTTTAGAGCTCTGCACGGGGGCCCTGAGAAGTCAGCTTCGCTCTTTTGATGTCTTTCTATAAATAAGTGCCTTTAAGTGTTTATATAAAATGTAAAACTTGATGGGTTTTGACATATGTACACACCCAAGAAATTATCACCAATCGAGGCACTGAAAATACCCATCATCCCCAAAAGCTTTCTCATCTGCCTTTACAGTGAATTTTTCACCACTTGCCCCCAGGTACCCACTGATTTCTCTGTCATGGTAGATGGGTTTGCATTTTCTGGAATTTTATGTAAGTAGAATTGTATAGTATGTCCTCTTTTTATTTGGCTTTTTGAATTCCCTCAGCATGATCATTTCAAGATTCACCTTTATGTGTATCATTAGTTAATTTCTATTGTTGAGTGGTATTCTGTTGTATGGGTGGACTACAGTTTGCCCATTCACCTGCTGGATAAGTTCACCAATCTATGCTATTTTAATTCACTTACACTGTGTCCCCCAGCAGTTTGAGGAGGGGAGGAGGAACTGGGCAGCCCGGGACGTTGGACTTACGGGGGCGGGGGGCGCCGCCGCCCGGGGCAGGAGCCAGTGGTTCTGAGAGAGGCTGAGCTCCGTCTCCTCGAAGGTGCGGGTGCCCAGGGCGCTCCCTTGTCTCTTCAGCCTTCTCTCTGCAGGGACGGGAGAGGGTCCGTTTTCCAGGCCTGGTGGGTTGTTGGTACTTTGGCGACTGCTCTGTAGGGTGGCCCGTGGCCTGGAGGGGCCTCTGCACCCGCCAGGATTTTTAACTGTGAAAGGGGCCTCGCTGCCCAGGGGCCTTCCTGAGATGAGTGTCGATTGTGGATGTTTTCTGTCTTAAATCAAATGAAGAAATTTTTTGTAAGAGGAACTTCAAACCTGTGTACTCAACCACCTGGGGGTAGGATGGAGCGCCCGGGAGGGGGCGTGGGGTGGACACTGCGTCTGCGTCGTTAGTGTTAACGCTTGTGTCTATGCTCTGCTTTAAAAAAAAAAAAAGTGCAAAATGAACGATTGCACAGACGCAGCGCGGGGGGGTGGGGGGCTGCGGTGGGGGAGGGGCGGTGGTGCTCTGAGCCCCCAGGCCTCGGTGGCACCCCGTCCCCTCCGGCTCGGGCATCGGGGAGCCACATCCGCCCTTCCCAGGGCTCTGCGGTGCCCAGAGAGCACGTCCGGCTTTCAGGGTGCCTGTCACTGCTGCGGGGTTTCCAGCGTTCCTGGACCCGCGGCGGGCAGCTCCAGGCCCCCTCCTGCGGGGCAGGGCTGTGCGGCTTTGGTCACTGGGGGAGCCGCCCCAGGAATCCAGCCTGTCTGCCTCTCGGGGCTCCGCTCCCTCCCCAACTTTCTAGGCATTCATCTCTTGCTGTGCCTGGGGAAGAGAGTCCGGAGCCCTGTCGTGTCCCCAGAGCCGAGCCGGGCTGTGTGACTGCCCCCTAGGAGGTGTGCCCGCCGTCCGGACGTCTGTGCCGATGGCGGCGCGAGGGCTCATTTTTCCAGAAGCCCCCGTTCCGTGCCCACGCCCCCAGGTGCCCCGGTCTGCCCCTCGGGGTGCGGGATTCTCCTCCTGGTCCAGCCCAGGGGGCTGACCGGGACGAGGCTGCTGCTCCCGAGCCTGGTGCACAAAAGTCCTTTTCTGTGGTTGGTCCCGGCCTGAGCCTCGGGCCGCGAGCCAGAGGGCAGCGGGGCTCCTCCCGCTCCGTCTACGTCTCCAGCGCGCGCCTGCGGGCCTCGTCTCTGACTCCGCTTGTCTGGGCCGGGACGCAGGTCTGACCGGCTGGGCGGGTTTCCTTCCTGATCGTCCCTGAGAGGAACGTGCAGCCGTGGGCTCGGTGTCCTGCACTCAGCTCGGGCCTGGCCCTGCCCCCCTGAACGTCTGTCTCACTTGTCGTGGACGGAGCATTCTTTCTGTCCCGTGTGTGCCGAGTTGCCTGTCAGGCTCTCATCCGTCTGCAGTTCGGGAAGCGGGCTTTTCCCAGCTTCCGTCCCTGGTGAGAAACGTTCCAGGTGGAAAGTGGTCGGGGTGGAGGGGGCAGCAGAGGGGGCGGCCCGGCAGGCCCTTGGCCCCAACACTTGGCCCTTGCCCGGTTCTCGCTGCCCCTCACCACAGCCAGGCCTGTGCTTGAAGCTGGAAGTGGCGCCCGGCCCCTCGCTGGTCCCTCTGCTGAGACCCCTGCCCAGCTGCAGGGAGGCTCTGCTTCTGGCCTGTTTGGGCGGAGAGAGTGCCTGGCACACTGTCATCAGACGGCGCTGCTGCTGCTGCGGGGCGCCTCGTGGGTGGGAGGGCTGGGCCGTGGGGGCCCAGCGCCGAGCCTGGACAGACGGGGGTCGGGGGCAGCTCCGGGAGGTGGCCTCGGGACCCGAAGCCCAGCTCTGCTCCGTTCTCAGCGGAGGAGTATGTGGGGCGGGTGCTCGCTTCCTACTCGGATGCCGAAGCTTTGGGATCTCATCTCCAAAACCAGCCCTGTGAGTCTGGTGGCCGTGCTTCGGCGGCCTGTGAGATCCCGGACCTGGCCGGCCCTGCCCTTCTCTCCGTGCAGGTACATGGCCCAGAGCAAGCACGCCGAGGCCCGCGAGCTCATGTGCTCAGGAGCCCTGCTGTTCTTCAGCCACGGCCAGGTGAGCCGTCTGCCCGGGGCCAGGGTTGGCATGGGGTGTCCAGGGAGAGGCCTGGTGGGCAGCCTGGGCTGAGCACCCCTGTGTCCCAGCACCAGTGTGGGGCCTGAGGGCTAGTGGCCTTGGTGCTGAGAACCGCCTCTTAGGTGCAGTCGGTCGCTGGTTTCTAACTGGAAACCAGAGCCACTGCCCAGCCTCACCGTCTTCTGAAAACGGGCCAGAGCCTCGCGTCCCACTGACAGTTCCTTTTTATGTTTTATAGCAAAACAGTGCAGCTGATTTGTCCATGCTGGTCCTGGAGTCGCTGGAGAAGGCGGAGGTCGAGGTGGTCGAGGAGCTGCTGGGTGAGATGGAGTGGACACGCGTGCCGTTGCCACATCACCACGCCGTTCCCCCCGCCCCCACCCCCCCAGACGCACCCAGCCTCCCTGGCGCGTGGTGGGTGCCACGTGGTCTGGAGCCCCTGCCCCGTTGGGCGAGCCCTTCTGCGAGCTGCCCGGCCGCAGAGGCGCGTGCGGATCCCCACTGGGGCGGCCCCCTTCCCTTCTGCTCCCGGACACAGGCTCAGCTGTGGGGAGGTGTCACGGTGAGGACGGTTGGGGTGGCCCCAGGACCCCCCCGGTGTGCCTGCTGCTTCTCCGCTTTCTTTCAACTTGAAACAGTTGTTTTTAATTAATTTCTGTGAGACGCACAACACAGAGCAGCAGCAGCCGCGGCTTCCTCTGGGTCAGGCTTGTGTGGGTGTTGTTTGCAGAAAGTCTGGCCAAGCTGTTCAGCCTGATGGATCCCAACTCCCCGGAGCGAGTGGCATTTGTGTCTCGAGCCCTGAAGTGGTCCAGTGGGGGGTCCGGGAAGCTGGGCCACCCCCGGCTCCACCAGCTGCTGGCCCGCACCCTGTGGAAAGGTAGGCCGTGGGTGGGCGGGGGCCCCTGCGGGAAGGTGGGCCAGGGAACAGGCGGCCCTTCTGATGTTCTCGGGGCGGCTGCTGGGGCGGCTGCGTCCGTTCGGATCAATTACAATCATCTGCGCTGCTGGCGGGGGTTGGGGGGGAGGTGGCCCTCGGAGTCCCAAGCCGCCGCTGCTCGGCTGAGTGTGAGCACCTGCTGCGCTCGGGTGGGCGGGGCGTTCCCTTTTATGGAGCTTCCGGTCCCCTGCCGGCCACCAGCTCCCCCGCGCTGGGGCCTCCTTCCAGGACGAATTTCCCTGGTCCTTCCCCCGCCGGTGTTCTGCCAGCACTTCTCTTGTCTTCTAAGTGAGCATTTGCGGGGGCTGTTCAGTCCACAAGAGGGGGTCACGTCCCAGGCTCAGGCAGAGGAAGGCGAGCGGCCTGAGTCGCTCTTGGGCGGGTGTGAGGGGGCTGTGCCACCTGGGGCCTCGCGTGGCGGCCGTGTGCGCAGCTCATCCACGTGGTGGTCGAGGGGTCTGGGCCCCACCAGCCAGGTCGGCTCTGTGCCTCGTCCTCACAGGCCGTCATCTGGGTGGGGTCAGGCGGAGGGACGGTGACCTTGGGCAGGTGTCTTGGGATCGCGCGAGCGGGCCCGACCTCGTCTGTCTGAGGCTGTGGGAATTTGGAAGGGCTAGATGCTCTGTCGTCTAGACCTCTGGACGCTCGTGCTGGGGCTCTGTCGACGGGTCCGTTCAGCCAACGGCCGCCCTCCACACTGCCTCGTTGGCCGAGCGGGCCACCTGCTCAGGAACGGATGGCGAGTGAGGCCAGCGGGCCCCCGCGCCTGTGGGAGGCCGTGCTGAGGGGCGTCTGCAGGGCCCCGGCGGTGGGCGGCCTCCAGGCAGGCGTGTGGTGTGGCCCGGGGCCCGCCATGCTGTGCAGGGCGCCGTGGGAGACCTGCCTGCTCTCGGTGTCCCCGCTCCGCTGGGGTCTCGCGCAGGCACCTCTCCGGGGCTTGAGGGCGCCTAGTGACCTGCCGGATTTCTCTTCTTACGTGGAGGCTCTAAAACCAAAAGGTGGCTCTTGGGGTTGGAGGGAGAGGAGATCAACAAAACACAGCCACACAGAGCAGGCTCTTCTCTGAAGTCACCCTGCAGTGCTGGGAGCTGACGCTGGGGGGCAGTGGTGATCGGGGGGGGTGCCCAGGTGGGAGGTGGGAGAAGGCCCAGCCTGGGAGGCGTGCCCTCTGTCCGGAAGGAGAGGGAGCCAGTGCGGCGTGTGCCCTGGAGCTGGGTCTCTGCCTTAGCACCGCTAACCCCGGGCGTCCTTCCCGTGCTGCAGGGTGCCGAGCGGCATCCCTGGGCTCCACAGCTAGGTGCCAGAAGCACCCCCAGCTGTGACGGCTGACGCCGGCTCCAGACCTTTCCCTGCGTCTGGAGTAGGGCTCGAGTTGCTCTGGGTGAGAGCTGTGGCGTGGAGGGTGGATCCAAGGGGGAGGAGCGGGTGTGTGTGTCCAGGTGAAACTGGAGAGGTTGGGAGTTTGGTCGCTTTTTAAGAAAACAGACCATTAGAACCCACTTAGAGCTCAGTAGCCGGTTTAGAGTCAAAGGCTCAGAACAGCGGAGCATCAGAGGAAGCACCGTCCCTGGAGAGCTGGCGTCCAGCCCCGTCCTGGTCCCTCGTCAGAACGGCAGACTCGGGGCCAAGAGGGCCGCTGGGCTCCGTCGTGCACACGCCACGCTGGCGGGATGCGGGTTCTGCCCCAGGGCTTGATGCCGCCTTCCTGCCCAGCTCCCAGGTGACCCCGACTCGAGTGGAGACAGTCTGGCCTCTGCTGGGGACACAGCCCAGGTGGAAGTCAGCGCAGCGATGACGTAGGACCGCCATCCTCCCTGCCTGCGCGGCAGCGGGGAGGAGGGGGCACTCACAGCTGCCTCCTTGCCCGCCTCCGCAGAACAGAACTACTGCGAGTCCCGGTACCACTTCCTGCACTCCAGCGACGGGGAGGGCTGTGCCAACATGCTGGTGGAGTACTCCACGGCCCGCGGCTTCCGCAGCGAAGTGGACATGTTCGTGGCCCAGGCTGTCCTCCAGTAGGTACCCGCTTGCTGTCCGGCCCTCGCGTCTGTGGCCTCCTGGGGCCCAGGGCTGGCCTCTGGTTGAGCGTCGCATGAGGACAGGCCTGAAGTCACTCAGTGTCCCACACGCAGCTCACGTCCCCCAGTGTGACCCCTGCTGCTGACCTCCGGGCACCCTCAGCTCCCCTAGGCCGACTTGTAACGTTTCCATTGGCAGTAGAAATACTTTCTGTGCTTTAGATTAGCGTTTTGTTGCCATTGATTTTCTGTTTTCCCCATTATCTATCACGTTTGGGGGCGGTGGTTAGTGTTGTGTAACTATTTTCTTTTAGGACACGTACATTTACCAAACTTTCAGCCTCCTGGGATGTGACATGCGCGTGCATCACAGCCTTTGTTCAAAGGCCGTTTGCCTTCCCAGGTGTTTTGTGCGTCCAGACACGGTGATGGGGGAGTTGCCCGCCCACTCGGCACCTCAGCTCCACGTCTCTGCCCCTCTGTCCCCGCCTCTTTGGTTTTCTCTCTACAATTTATTTTGAAAATACTGAAACACAGCAGAGTCGCTAGCGGCGTGAGCGTCCTGTTGGGCTCACACAGCCGAGAGCACACGTTGGATGACCTGGGGCCTGACCTCCCTTCCCACTGGACCATGTGTTTGTCCCACCACGTGTCTGTCGATGAGATTACTCCCTCCCAGGAAAGCACTCAGATCTGGTGGCTGGGCCTTGGGATGGGGTGTGTCCCATGAGTTGGGGTGGACGGGGAGCTTCCGGGCTCCGACATGTCACCACTTGTTGCTGAATCTGCGACTTTGAAAACGAAACCTGTTTAAAATCCAGAACTTGCTGGCCCTGGCTTTGGCGTGTGGTGCCAATGTTTCCCTCTGGCGTGAGCCCTTTCTCGTCCATCCGTCTCTGTCGAGGGCATGCACCACGGTAAAGTCCGGCCGTGGACACGCCCTCCACGGGGCGGAAAGAGGAGCCGGGGCAGCCTCTGGGCCACCGTGCTCTCGCGGGCAGGGGCAGAGAGGTGTGGGACAGGTTCAGGGAGCCCTGCCGTCTCCTGGATCTGCTGACCTTGAACACGTCACCTTCTCAAGTTAGTTCTCCCCGGCCGTAAACCTTGGGACTCCCTGCGGTGGCTGGTCCACGTGAGGGGCCTGGCTGGTGCCCTCGGTGTGTTGCACGGGGGCACATGGGGCCCTCTGGGAAGGCTCTTGTAGAAACCTGTTTCTTCCTCCGGTCAGGTGTGCCCCACTCACTGGGATGTTATTTCCAGGTTTCTCTGTTTAAAAAACAAAAGCAGCGCATCAGTGGTGTTCACGACGTACACACGGAAACATCCGTCCATCGAGAGCGGCCCTCCCTTCGTGCAGCCTCTGCTCAACTTCATCTGGTTTCTGCTGCTGGCCGTCGATGGGTGAGCGTGCGTGTGGGTGTGTAGAGGCCTGTGGGTGAGGCGTGTGCACGTGCTTGTGTGGAGGGGCGCACACGTGTGCGTGGAAGCACGCAGAGATGGGTGGGTGAGCACGCGCTGTGGGGGTGGAGTCGTGCGGTTTCTGTCCACGTCCTTGGTCTCATGTGGGCATCGGCTGTGCTGCGCTCTGTCCTGTTCCAGGGGGAAGCTGACGGTGTTCACGGTGCTGTGTGAGCAGTACCAGCCATCCCTCCGGCGGGACCCCATGTACAACGAGGTGAGGGGCG